TTCGGTTTTCTTTATCAATTGTCCAGCTTTCACATGCATGTGAGGGGATTGAAAACACCATGGCTTGGGTCAGGCGCACCTTAGTCCTTAAAGTGACATCTTTGCTTTTTAACACTTTAAAAAGGTCTTTTGCAGCAGATTTTCGCAATGCTAGAAGTCCAAATTCAGGGTGCTAGCTCTAGAGGAAGGCTTTCTCTCTGCTGCTTCTGGGGAGAGGTGTTTGTCTCTTGGAGCTTCCGCTCCTGGGTGATCTCCATGTGTCTTGGCGTCTCTCTTCACCCCATCTCTGCTTCTTTCGCTTGCTTATTCAATCTCTTTCATATCTCAAAACAGATTGATTTAAGACACACCCTACACTAATCCTGGTCATTAACATAAAAAGACAACCCATTCCCAAATGGGATTGTAACCACAGGCATAGAGGTTAGGATTTACAACACATATTTTGGGGGACACAATTCAATCCATAACAGTAACCGAATCTGGAAGCTGAGTATGTCTTTAGATAAACTCTTATTGTGGATCTCAGCCTATTTAAACATCTAGAGAAAAGGACTTCATAACTTCCTTGCCTAACTTCCAAATTTCTTAAGGCAGGACAATGTGATTTTTACCAGCACGAAGTTTAAAGCTCGCAGATTTTCCTAAATTAAAACACCGACCTCATTTTTTCCTTGCTATGTGAATTTGAACAAGTTCCCAATTACCTCTTTTACCTCAGTTTCCTCATCTGCGAAGTGGTAATTTGTAAGTATCCCATGTGTTAACATACATGTGCTTGGTACTTAAGTGTTTTCTACTATTATGAAAAACTGGCATCTTGCTCAGCAGTGTAGCCTCAAGCAATTAGCATGCTGTTTGGCACATCACAAATGTCTGTTACGTCATCGAATACTGAAATCACCTATTTCTAATGGAGAAAGCAAATCTCTCATGCTTTAATGATGAGTCTCCATGGAAAAGTGAAATAGCTCCTCACCACCATGCTGTCACTGGTGTAAGCTACCGGCTGCCTCTTTCAGAGGCTGTGGGAGACCATATTAACTTTGGTAAGCCCTATTTCCTAAACACCTCTTTCCCAAGCCAACCGCCAGCCCCAGGAAGCAGCCTCAGGGTCACCTCAGTCACCAGGAGTCAGTGTGCAGGTACAAAGAACATGGACCAGGCCAACTAGGTAGGCCAAGTGGCCCTGAGGAGTTAAAACAGACTTGGTCTTCTTTGCCACATGCCCTTTATGTCCTTACTAATCTGCAAGTCCCTGAACCTCACGTCCTTTCTGGAACAAAGCAAAGTCTAAATAAACAAAATGGCTTGTTTTTCTCTTTCCTTTTTTTTCCTGTTCACTTCTCTAGATTCTCCAGGTTGCTTTGAATTCTCATCTTTTTCTCCAAGCCCAAAATTGTTCACTTGGACGTTTGATGAGCTTGTTTGTCTCTTTGTTTCATCTCATCTAAGTCCCTACCAGTGGGCCCAGGACAGTGTCTGACCATCGTGACCACAGAGGCTCACAGCACATACCATCACACTTCTGGGTTATGAGAGGCCCAGAGGCCATGTAGAGGGGAGCAGAGAGCACGCTGAAGACTTGGCCCTGCTCCAGAGCAACGCAGAATCGCAGAGCTGCGAGGGCCCATGTGGAGTATTTCAGCTAATCATCACAATCAGCCAGTACCTCAGCCTCTCACTAAATTAAGTCAAGCAGGTGTTTTCCAACAAATGTTGGAAACCAAACCCGTTGCCCTAGAGTCAATTCCGACTCATAGCGACCCTATAGGACAGAGTAGAACTGCCCCATAGGGTATCCAAGGAGCAGCTGGTGGATTCAAACTACTGATCGTTTGATTAGTAGCCATAGCTCTTAACCACTGTGCCACCAGGGCTCCACAGTAAAACTAGAGATGCCTTCCCCGACTTTGGAAAACATTCCCAGGTTTTTTCACATTTGGGGGACAAGGACAGGTTGACGTGGTCGTTCCCCTTCCAGCTGGGTGTAACAGTGCACCAGCACTCCCTGACAGCCCTGGGGACGGGCTGGCTTATCTATGCCTGTGGTTCCCACATCAACAGATCCTGGAGACTATGAAATTGTACCTAAACAATCAGCACCACCGCCCTTCCCCTAAACTCTGACCTGCAAGCCCAGGAACTGAAGGCCTCATCCTAGAAAATAAATTTCCAATATTTCCAGTTCCACCAATGTGAAATTCTCTGTGATGACCTTACTAGCAGAGCGGTTGGTGGACACAGACATACAAAATGTAATTATCCATTCTGCCAGATGTGAACTTCTTCTTCTGCCCCCTCCTGCCTGAGAGCAGAAAGCTGGTTCTACTTACTTCCAGTACCGCTCAGACACGAGTGATTTTTTAGACACCTCAGGTTCAAAAATCCATTAATTCGGTGCATGCCTGTCCCTTTATCCCTAGTGGGGTCCATGGAAAGGGGCTCGGCCTTGGGAGAGCACCCTGACATTGGCCCTTCCTCCGCCCCGCACTGCAAATGCTGAGACGTAACTTGCCCCGACCAGGCCTGGAGTGGCGACTCCTCCATGTGAGCCCAATCCTGCATCCCCTGAGTAGTCTGGCCCAGCCTGGTCCTTGGTCACTAACCAAGCATACTAGCGTCTTTGTCGCAACCACAAGACACCATTGGGTTCATCTTCGCCCCTCAGTCCCTCTGGCCATCTCTCTCAGGGCACAGCCGCTTTAGGATG